CTGCCCCGCCCGGTACTGTGAGCCGCGCGACCAGCCGCGTTGCGATAGAATCGTTCCTGACGTGCGTTGTAATTACAAAGCGAGAGATAGCAGCGGGCGGGGCGGGGTGGGGCGTTCCCGGCCGGTCCTCGTTGCGGGCCTCGGCGAGGGCCTCGTCTTGGAGCCACGCGCCATACAGGACCCCGCCGCCCGGCCCTCGATCCTCGCCCTTTGGTGGTGCACTGCGTCGTACGGCAACCCGCGTGGAAAGATTTACAGTTTGATATACACTTGTGGACTGCAGATGAACTTTTGCTAAATCTTTAGTGTGACCATAGTATTTGTACTGAAGTAATGTTGGTATTTTACAAACACAAATATAATTTGCAAGTACAATAAAAGTGCATACAAACTGCATGTGGCATCATGCAGTTTAAGTGTAGTTATTTAATAGAAAACAATAGTTAAATGACAGTCAACTGCAGTTTCACTGCAGTCAATCTAAAAAAAATGTGTAAAGATTTGGAACACTCCTCACTTTAACTGCAGTTTTCGCGCACTCTATCTACAGATATAAATACAGTTCGATCTACAAGTTGTCTGTGGTTCGGACTATAATTAAACTTAAGTGTCAAATGATTCTAAATCATAGTGTTAAAAACATCTTTTTCCCTCTCTGGGTCTTTCTTTCTCCCACCTATTCAGTTATTTACCTCATATTATATCATCCAGTTATTACCTCATAGTTATTACATTGGTTTTACCGCGGATGTTGTCGGGAGTTGAACCTCGGACTTCGGAGTTGGGAGCCCGGTACGCTGACCACTGAGCCACTGCGACACGATAGCTCTGGTGCCGCAGTAACCTGGTGTCATGCCAAGGGTCCCGGCCCGTCGGCCTACTTGTCTAACTACAGTTTAACTACAGTTTCTCTCAGTGGCGCCCACAATTTTCGCGTGTACCCATGCAGAGCCCTCAATGTACCGTACCTGTATGCCCTAAAATGTACCTGTATACATTCACCCCCCCCCCTTTCTCTATAATATTTTTTCCAATCGTATTTGAGCGTACTGCGTACGATTTTTACATAACTGTATGTAAAATTCCAGCAAGCTATAGGCATTAAATGAGTCAGTAGATCTGCTCAATGCACCAAGGGCGTAGGAACGATTTCCGGCAAGAAGGGTGGGTCCAACCCTTCTGGCGCCCTTTACGCCCGCTAACCATCCCCTTCTGTTACCACCTTCATGTCAACGAAAAGTAGGCTAACGCGAGCGAAGCGAGCGCGAAAAAAAAGTCTATTAAAACGAGGTAAAATTACAAAATAATTATGTTTCTCTATGTGTACAAAAACAACAAATCTTCTTGTAAACTTCCCTGAAAGGTGCACAGTAAAATATCGCGAGCGAAGCGAGCGCGGAAATTTTTTGTTAAGAGACGCAAGGACGCTGAAATAGGCCTACCCTTTGGGGTGCCAAAATGTACTGTGAATAGCTGACGTTCGTCGTATGTATGTCTTTGTCGGAAGACGTCGGTACGGCACGGGGTAATTCTCCACGCCGACGCCCGTGGGGGCGCGGGCAGGGCAGGGGCTGGATGTTATAGGTCTCACAATAATCTCTTATGTTTCTGCCTTATTTCTTTCCTTTCCTTTCCTTTCCCTTCTCTCCTTCTCTTCCTTCCTCTTTACCTT